ACACACACACACACACACACACACACACACACACACACACCTATTCTCTATTTCTTTGCAATATTTTTCCAATAGAATTTCAGCTGAGTATTTCTGTAGACAGTGTCTGAAGAACTGAACCAATCCTCCATAGAAATTGCCACAAACATTTGTCTTTTTATGTGATCTTTCTTTCCCACACTCTATTAGTAGGATAAATTATGAATTAAACATTTGAAGATAAAACACTCAGTGCTTTAAAGCATATTCAAGATTAAAACCAATGTTAAAATGGCATTTAGGGAACTTGTAAAACTCACAAAGGGGGCATTCAAAGCTGCCCCATGGTGATTAGTTTCTTACAGCACTGCTGATATATACAGAGTGTGTTCTCTGAGAATCTGGCAATATATCAACAGGGAACAGGGGACATTGGGGGCCTTTTATTCTGATTTCCCTTAGTTTTTTCAGACTTTTGAAATGGGAGAAGCCAAATAGGAACCTTAATCTTTTGAAAACTAGTTAATTTCCAGGTGAATGTCACCTAGGAACAAGCTAATTTATTTACAGATGGGAGATTGCCTAGCCCTGTGGAAGGGGTGAAATGGAAGGAGGACTTCTAGTGACTGTGATGTAAGGCAGGTCAAGGCTTTAATGAAGACAGGGTAAGTGTCATCTTGTTCCAGCCTCCCCCCTTTTCAGAACTCCCTCTTTCCCCAGCCTGTCCTCTCATCTTCACTTACAGGTAGGTTCAGGGGTGAAAGTAACTTGAAGGATTTACAGGTACTCCAGAGTCCTGCGGAGGGGGCGGGGCCTCAACTGGAAGAGGCGTGGCCTCTACCCGAAGAGGTGTGGCCTTTAAATCCCGGGACTTTTAAATCAGGATTTAAAGGGCTCGGGGATCCGGCAGAAGCCTGCCCCTGCATGTGTTGTTGCTGCCGCATGCCCCCCAGACCTCCGTCTCCTCCCCTGTCTCACGGGCAGCTCCCTCCCACATCCTGGAAGAGAAAACAGCAGCTGCTGAGGCTGGAAGTTTTCCTGGGGACACCATTAAGCAGCAATCCAAAAGCTGGGCACCCACAGATGCGCTGGCAGTGCCCAGCCAGACCTTGCCTCTTACAGAAGTTCCTGAGGTGAGAGCAGCAGAAATACTATCTCCCCTGTCCCCCCCACTCCTCAAAAGGGCACCGGCGCCCTCCCCACGGGATAGTAATACATACAGTATGTATGTGTATGAATGTGTCACAAACAATGCAGCTGCAGCCTGCCACCGACCCGCAGCGACCCCAGCAACCGGCCACCGTGGGCTGCTGCTGCCTGCAGAGAGCCAGCAGGTGCCGCTGGGCTGGGTCTGCCAAGGAGTAAGTAACCAAGGCAAAAACCATAGCCTGCCAGCCAGGGAGGGAGCCAGGGGGGCAAGGGACTGCGTTCCACCATGCCCACCAGTGCCCCACTTTCCCTAGATCCTCCCTATTTCCTAGCAACTCAGATATCAAGGATTTTTTAATCTCCCTTCCAGGCACATAAAAGAGTGCAGGGAGCACACCAGTGGGTGGCTAGTAGTAGAGGAAGGCAGGGCAGGGGTGAATGAAGGACAACTGGAATAGCCTTCATGAAATATACAAGATATTTAGAGAAAGTTTTGTCAATTTCAGCCTCTGCACTCTGCAGGCAGGACAAAACAAAAAGAGATCTGAGATTGGGCCCTATGTCCTAAGGACATTTCAGGTGTTTAAATCAATATATAAAGAGGGTGGAATGAAAACTACTATTTCTTTCAAAGGAGGCACAATAATTTCCCTGAATATCCAGTTTTCCCCTCCAATCCCTTTGTGGTTTTGTCTATGGGGGCTATTTGCTTTCCCTGTGAATCTTTAGTTGCTTTAGCAAAATTGCTTTGCCCATAATAAACCCTGATCATCATGACACATCTTCCCACCATGTTCTCCATGTTTTTTGTGTTTTTTTTTTAAACAGTAACATTTCAAAGAGGATCTGCAAGCAATTTGGACATCACAACCATGATCCTCTGCTGGGGAGGGAATGGGATAGATTTGAACTTGGAAATGGTTCCTGATTTTGATTGTATTTTTTGTGTATAGGAGATCCCCTCATCCCGGGGGCAGAAAAGAACTGCCCCTGCCATGTTCACACATACTGTTCCCCCTCCCCCCACCAACAACTGGGAGTGAAATTAACAAGGATGCCAGAAACGGTTCCTAACCCCGGGGGCTGAACTGCCCAGGGAACAGCTGAGTTTAACTATTCTTATGCAGGCAGCAGCAGCAGGCATCTCTCAGCCAGTCTCCCTGCTCACTGCAAGCTAGAGCCTAGAGGAGAGCCCCTGCTGAGTGGCGGGTGGGGGAGGAACGCAGAGCCTTACTGTCTGCAGCCTGGCTGGAGGAGGAGGAAGGAGACGAGAAACCAATGTGACAGTGAGTTTTCCCCTTCCACCTGCTTTTATTAGCTCTGGATTTAAGCTGTGCAGCCAAATGCCTATTGTATTTGTTGTGTATATTAGTATTGGAGAGATCCCCTCATCCCGGGGGCAGAAAAGAACTGCCCCTGCCATGGTCAAACACACCCTTCCCCTGGCCCCCTCCCCCCAGCAACTGTGAGTGAAATTAACAAGGATGCCAGAAAGGGCTCCTAACCCCGGGGGCGCAGGGAACAGCTGAGTTTAAATCTTTCTTATACAGGGGGCAGGCTTCTCCCTCCCTCAGCCAGTCTCCTTTTCTTACCGATCCTCTGTACCGGCCCATACCGGCTTACTTTCACCTCTGGGTAGGTTGGAGTGGCAGGTTGGGCTGGGGCAGAGAAGTAAATGAAATGGAGCAGCTCAGTGCCAGGGGGCTGAAAGGATAGCGGAGGAGAAATAGCTGGGGAGCATGAGGCTGTCAGTGTGATGAAGGAAGTGGTGAGATATTCTGGCAGTTAGCAGGGTTGCTAAGGAGGTGAGAAGGACCTTGTTCTCAAGGGTAGTGGGTGGGTGACAGCTCCTCTGAGTGGTGAAGGAGAGGCGCTGACACTTCAGCTGGTTGAAAAAAGGGACACATTTTTCACAAATGTTTTCATGAACAATGTGTGCAGTTTTTTGTTGGAAACGTTCTAAATTTGTCATTTCTCAGCCAGATCCACTGCCAACATGATCCTCCACTGCAGGACCTCAGTGGAGCACACCGAGAATGGACATACGCCACTTGACTCTTAAGCATTCATCTAGAAAATGCCTAAACTTGTTTGGCTCCCTGACTCACAGTAATTGTCTGCAAACTGAATCCCTTCAATGTGTTGTTTCACATATGCCCCTGCTCTCTACCACCAGGCCTGTTGGATTGGTCAGCTGTCATTTCTAATCCACTGTGTCTGCCCAATGCATTCATAATCATTCAACCTATGCTTGCTCTTCTAGAGGGTGCACTGAAAACAGTTATTTTTGATTCAAACTGACTCACAGGCCCAGCCTACAAAGTAAAAGTATTTGTAACTAAGTTAGTGACAAAACAAATTTGCTTCCAACACTGTAATACATTGCAATGTACATTTTTATATCACATTGCTTTTTGGGGTTTTAACTTTGATAGCACAGTGTAATAAACCCACAACCACTTAAGAACTTAGTAGCTATCAGTGCATGGCATAGCATGGGTACTTGGAATGTCAGTGGGCAAGGATAGAAATCAGATCCTCCAATTCTGGGCTTAGTCCAGAATGACTTCAATAGCAGGCTTCGGATTAGGCCCTTGATGCACAGACCTGTACACTACATGAAGTAAAGAAAAATCTCAATTTGCTATTAGCAGTATAAGGCCTCTGACACAAACGAGCAGTTGTAATTCCATGCAGTAGAGGCCAGTGGTACAAATACACACTATCCAGTTCATTACAATAATAAATTCCTTTCCCTCCCCAGTGACAGTTAAAATGGCAAATACTAGAATATTTTTTAAAATGCCTTTGACTAGTGTATGGACATGTGGTTATAATTATTGTATTTACAGAAGAATCTGTTGTTCTCCTTTCTTCATATTTCTGGTGTCTCCCAGGAAATATGCCAATTTGTGGGCATTTTGCTCCATATTAAAGGAAACTTTCCTACAAGCAGGGCTCATTGTCACAGAGCACCGGCGTGCTAGGAGTAGAAAATTAATATCCTGAGAGCCATCTGTAAAAAATGGGCAGGAATGAATATGAATAAATATCGAATATAACTGTTGTAAAGATGCCTGTGTTCCCTTGGTCTTTCTGTTTCATTCTTTATTCCCTTTTCTTTAATCCTCCACTTTATCTTTAATTCTCCATTTTCTCTCCCTCCATTTCCCCTCTCCTGTTTTTCCCATTTTCTCTTCCCCCCTCCCATCTTTCTTGATCTTCTATGCTTCTCCTCCCATTACTCTGTCTATAACCCTGTTTCTCTTCTGCCCATCCATTTCCATCTGACCCCCCCTTCAATATCTTTAAGCCTATGATGCAATTTCCTCAATGAGTTTGTTTTCCCATTTTTTGACATCTGACGCCCGTTCTCTCTTCCTTCCCAACCCATTTCCCTCTCTCTCCGTACCTGTAATAGCCTTCCCTTGAGTCCAATAATTTTCTCTCCCTATTCCTCCCCACACCCTTTTCCTTCCTAGGTCAGACCTCCTTCCCATCCATTTCTCAAATCCTTTCCTCTTCTCTCCACTTCCATATGCCCCATTTTCTTTCGCTCCCTTCCCAACACCCCACTCCCACTCTGCCATTGCAACTCTCTCCCTTCCCCCTGCTCAACCCCATTCTAACCACCACCATCCTCCCTTGTTTGTTCCTTTCCTCTGGCTGTTCCTTTCCCTGGTCACTCATCCAGCTCCCCCTTCCCCTGTTATACCAGTCCAAATGCCTCTGTTTCTTTGAGTCAGTGGCATGACCAGGAATCTAACCCAGCGGACGTGATTTGCAGTCCCATAGTGTTAACCACTAATTCTCACTCACGCAATACTTGTGGCACTGTGTTTGTGTGGAGGTCATTTGGCCCTAGTGCGATATAAGTAGAATTGCTAGTACTGAAATCCTGAAGCTCTGGAGCAAAATGAAATTTGCTCATTTTTATATTTGTATTATTTCCACCTTCCTATTGCACTGTGCAAAAGCTTTCAGAGCCAGCTGGCACAAAGCAGAGCAAGCTGCAGTGTTGTTCTTGGAAGGCAGTTCATAATGAAAACAATACTGCTGGATTGGGGGAAGTCGCCTCTTCCAACACATACATCAGATCCAATATCAGATCTGGAAGAATGGCAAATGTTACACACCCACTGGAATCTTTTTTGAACTTCTTAGTTGTTAGCCCAACACTAGAGGGCAGAGCATCTCATTCAACCATTGATCCAGCCAGGCTTTTCTTTGGCAGCATTTTGAATTGGGCTGCTTTGAGGGAATGTAGTGAGTATAAGAATAGTACTTTGTATTTCTATTGTGCCTTCCATCTGAGTAGCTCAAAGGGCTGTAGAGACACTAATGAATTAATCCTCAGCACACCTCTGTGAGATGGGTAGTGTCATCTTCTTTTCACATCAGGTAACATCTAGTGCACAGAGTGGGGAATTGATCTTCCCAAAGTCACACATCAGCCTTACTCAAGTCTTTTCCACACAGGAGACATGGCCCTGCAAGTCAGAATGAGGCTTGGTGAGCAAAGAAGCAGGACACAGGGAAGTAGGGGGAGCTGCTCAGAAAATGTATTTTCCATATCTGATTTTGGAGGTTTATTGTGACAAAAAGCTGAAACCTGAAAACTTTTGTATTAAGGTTTTCAGCTTTCAAAAACTGAATCTAAAAAGCAAAGATTAATAAGCTGAATTGCTCTGGGAAGGCCTGCCCCAATAGTAAGCCTGTCTCCCTCCACTCCCTTGGGGGTGTGTGTGCGTGCGTGGACATGCAGATGTGAGATTTCACTCTCTGAAGACCTGCACCCTCCATATTCCAGAAGGATCAGAATGAATAGCTGCTTCACAGACAAGCAAGCAATGATTTGTTGAAATTACTCATTAGATGCCTAAATGCTAAGTGATGGACCTTTTACAAATGCCTGAGGGGCAGAAGCAGAGAGAGCCCCAGGCAGCAGACAGAAAAATGAAAATAATGGAAAAACCAAACTCATCAAAAACTTTCAAATATCAAGAGTTCTTTTACTTATAAAGCATTATTAAAAGCTGTTGGCTCAGAGTCCATTTGAGTTTTGGGGAAAGATTTTGATCAGTGCCTCTCATTACTGGCAATTTAACATCAGCCAATCTGTTGCCTTCCTTCCACTGCAATCCATTATGAATTCCCTGAAAGCAGCTTGTCATTATGCACAGGATCACTAACAAAGTTAATATGGTAATAAAGGGGAAGGGGGCTGTGTGTTCAGTTAGGAAAAGTACAAATGCAAATGAGACAAATGTTTCTAACAAACAAAAAAAAGATAGGAACCCAAGTTAAAGAAGTATGGGCTGGATGAATGGACTGTAAAGTGGATAGAAAGCTGGCTAGATCGTCGGGCTCAACGGG